AAACAAGCAACTGCTTGAAAGAAAATTAGTAGCCCTGAGGAAATAAGCAAAACTGTTGAAGCTGAGTAAATATCCGAGCCATTATGTGCCTGACTGCCACTAGATGGCATCCCAAGGTTGACTAGGGTCAACCAGCTGTTTTAAGAGAGATCCATCCCTCTCCAATCTCTGGTGGTATAGTTGAAACACACTCGCCCCATGCCTTGTAAATGATTTGGTCTGAGTTTGAGTCCTGGCCAGGGAGGATTCACTATGTGCCAGTCCTTAACTAGTTGTCCATCTCTGTTCACCCACCAGTAATTGGGTACCTGGTTGTTATCTGTGTAAACTAATTGGCAAGTTGAATTCCAGAGAAGACCAGTGGCTAAGATTTACCATGAGTTATGGGAAGGGAAAGCTCCAATCCTGCTAACAGGAGTCAGAAGTTGTCTCTTCCCATACCCAACTGTGGCAACAAAAAATGGAACGGAGCACAGGCAGCTATTATGGTCCACCAGAAGAGGGCATTTCACTGCCTTCAATGCTCTATTTCTGGGATTTATTTCCCTCAGTAGCCTCCCTGGCTAATTCACAATGGTGCCTCAGCTGAGGTGGTCAGCTTTTCTGAAAGGAAAACCAATGATTAATAAGATAGAAAAGACAGATGGGCAAACCATGGAAGATGATAACAGAAAAGGGTCGAGGCAGAAGAACTCTAGCATAACCCTAGAGGCACAACTCTACACTATCATGGTGCGACCAAGGGACATCCACCAAGTAGCGAGAAACCAACTCCTGGTTGGGCAGCCAGAAGCCCTGAACCCAGATTTTTATCAAGGTTATACTATATGATTTAGAAATGAATGCAGACAAAGCAGCAAACCTCTACAACTCATGAGAGTAAGGATAAACAATTGGCACGCTAAGCCAAACAATTCCCTAAATAACCTAAGAGAGACGGGCCATAGAACAACAAGCATACAAAACAGGGTTGACAAACAAGGCCTCATCCCACACAGCACAAACAGTACACAAAAAAGACTGCATAGTGGCCACAGGAGAGAGCTTATGCCACCAGAAATGTGGTGGCTTATGAAAAGCAACCATGTATGGTCAAACCAAATATTTATAACAGACTTATACAGGAGAAAGACATTTCCTTGTTAGCCAACAACAAGGGCTGTAGGGCTGTTGGAGCTGCACAAAATGAGAACCAGGTATGAAGAACAGAAACTGCTCCAGGAAGAGGTTTCTGGATGCCCAGCTGGGCAGCCAGAAACAAGAGCCAGAAGAAAAGCTTCCATAAGAAAGGAGGTTCATACTCCATAATTCTCAAATTCTTCCTCAACTGAGGAAGAATTCCAAAACTGATAAGACAAAAACATCAAAATCAATTCCAGGGGTCCAGAAAGCTCAGGAGGGGCAGGAGCTGGACAATATCCTCATAAAATAATAAAATTACAGGAGAATAGCAGCTACGCCACTCAGTACAGCCAAGTGCCACAGAAGCAGGAATCGCAAGCATAAGAAACATTGCCAGACCAAAAGAAGTGTTCAAAAGAAAATTGGACAGTCCCCTACAAGAAGTACTGGGCCAACAGGTTTGTAGTGATATATGGGTCTGTGGGCTGCTCCAAGCAACAACCTGTTGGATAAAGTTACCACAGGTCAAGCTTGGCCCCAGGCCGAGATTGGGCAGTAGAAAAACGCCCAGAATCCACTCTAGGTATACCACCTGTAAGCAAGATGAGACAACCTGTCGAAGATAAACCTGAACCCAGTAGAGAAGATAGCTCCAGTGGGCAAGGAAGTGAAGCAAGACAGCTACCAAGGAAGAGAACCCTGACACACAGCCAGGGTAAAATATGCAGGGCAAACAAAAGGAGAGTTGCACAAAACACCAACATAAAGCAAGAAATGGAACAAAAGCAAAAAAACAGCCCCATATAGAATGAAACGATCCAAGGAGAGCACATACCACTATCTGAAAGTGCAAAGTTGAGTGTGGCCTATCAGAAAAGTGCTGTTAGAAATCCCAGCCGAACTGGGCTCACACTAAAGGTTGGGGTATTAAGCCCAGGTGGCAACAATTGTTTATCTAATTATCTCAGGAATGCTGATTTCCTATCAAGCAGTTTCTCGTTTTGACGTACATATAATATCTGGTAGGTGTTTTCTCGATTTTGGGCTGATCTCGATCCCAAAATTCCCCCCCCCCCCTGTTTTGCCTCGACAATGCCAGATTCTGGTCCTGGCTTTGGTTGGCTTGGATGGGTCTCATAGGCCGGAACCGATTTCCTAAGGCTTGGCAGCCACAGTGCTAAAACTTGGGGAGCTAATGAGGGGACCCTCCCATAAATGCAAGCCGAGTTATATATAAAGATATTTAAAAAGATTAAATATGATCTTCAAATCTTCAAAAAAGAACAAAAAAGAAAATAGACAAAAACCTTCAACCCTGAGCAGAAACGTAGTGCCTTTCTCCCTGGTAACTTTATTCAGATGACAGTATCACAGACAGCATGGCAAAAAATTTACTATTCACTCTGGCAATAACAATGGTTATTCATTCCTTGCTAAACTGAGATAGTATTACAAAAAAAAAAAAAAAAAAAAAAAAAAAAAAAAAAAAAAAAAAAAAAAAAGAGTTGAGATCATGGATAGTGGATTTAAGACTGGTTTTGCAATAAACCTATGGACTAGTACTTCTGTTTGGCAACAGACTTTTTTTTTTCAAACATAAAATGCACAAACCTGAGAAGTTGCAATAGTTGAAATGCCTTAAATGCAATCATACAAAATGTGATGATACATATTTTTAGTGCAACTTTTCTCAGCGATACATGTGAAAACACTTCACTCGCCACCTCTGATACGGTATTTTAAATAACCTCATCCCAGGATCACCCCAACTACAAACACATCTTTCACATCCACCTCCATCAACTGGGCCGAGGAAATAACCCGCCAGACACACGACCAAACGACGACATTGCCACAACGTCCGAACAGGTTTCAACACCTAATAACTTGTAACAACCAATATAGCACGTTGTAACAACATTCTAATACGTCATAAAAACGTTATAAAAAGATGCAACAACTTTATTACAAGTTGTAACAAGCGTAAAATAGGGACAATTACATTGATTATTTGCCGGGTAAGATGCTATGGCTGGGGTAATTCCGAGATGTAAAGTTTAAGTAGTACCATACAGGTGACAAGTGAAAGGCCCTCAAAAAATATAATGACTTCATAAATTATGATACACAAATCAAATACAACTTGCATTTAATCAAACTTACATTTGTAAGATTGATAATATGGGTTACTGAGGAACTTTTTAACAAATTAAGTAATATTGAACATTAGAAGCAGTTTTGAGAATTAAAGACATGAAAATGGCACACATGACAAACAAACAACTGCTTTCTGACTGGGAAACAACAATTCATTCACTTACAAAAGACTCATACAAACGATGACTTCTACGTACAACAAAATAATCAATGAGGTGTCTAGTGACTATCATTTGCCTCATGATAGTCTCTCTCTCAACATAACATCCATGTTGACATTAAATTTGGTATATGATTACCCTGTTTTGACATCTCTGCTACAGCTACTCACTTCTGCTCAACATGGAGCATTTTGCTGCAATATCTTCAACTACACATATTCAGAAATATAATAAAATGTGCTAGTTATCCCCCATGCTTGCATTATAATTCACTTACAAAAAGAAATTTAAATTACGTTTTTAACTTAATTCTAGCACGTGTGTGTTCGAATCCATATTTACAGAGGAACGAGATGATGTTTGCCAATTTTGACACTGAAAAATAATAAAACCAGTCGGACACGCAAACTGCACGTCTGAAAATGAAGGAACTGATGCATTTTAGTCCATTCAGGAGCATAATCCAGGTGATAATGCTCTAGAATGGATTGAAACATCGTCACTTCAAATATTTTCAGATTTGTGGGTTGGGTGTCAAGTTTTCTGCCATATTATTTGCATATAAAACCAGCGTTGAATGTAATGAAACACCATTTTCTGGGCGAGACCCGGAGGCTCCCCGGAGCTATACCGGGCTGATGTGTATATATTAAACCGTGGCAACAGTCAATTGATGGAGTTCTTAGCATACCGAAGACCATGAGCCAGAACCTGGCTCCCCTCAGAGAGGCACGAGGAGCAATGGCCTATAGACACCCCCTGTGTAGTTGGAAGCAGTCTATTTCTGCCATTTACCAGGTCAGGCACCCAGATAGGTAGGAATCCCAAACAAATTACAGCTGGTTAAAAATTGCACACCAAAATCCGAACAAGCAAGCAGAACTCCCCAATCAGAAAATAAGCAAACAAGCATGAAATCACCAAAGTTGCTGTTCCACTGTCTGCATAGTTCCCCCTATGGAAGGAAGGAAAGTGGGAAGGGGCGGGTTTCAGACCTCCCACACTGGCTACCCAACCCTGCGAGGGAGCCCCAGAACAGTCTGTAGAAGGTAACCCCAAACTGCAAGGGCAATACTTACAGGGCACCTAGGGAAGGTGATCCTAGGTGCATGCAGCCCCAGTACTTTTTTACTTTCACCTGTCTCGCACACCACTACAACGCAGTACAATATCACAAGGCACAGCACTGCTCAAGGATTGGAGCCGGAGTCAATCGACCGTCACCCAACACAACAGCCTCAGAACTGGGGTTCGGTAGCCGGCGTGGGAGGTCTTCCCTTCCCCCTCCCAGGAAGGGGAGAGCGCTGCACAGACAGCGGTGCAGCGCCTGTAGTGACATCATGCTTGTTTTCTGATTGGGGAGTTCTGCTTGCTCATTTGGTTTTCAGTTTGCAATTTTTAACCAGCTGTAGTTTGTTTTGGGATTCCTACCTTTCTGGGTGCCTGACCTGGTAGATGGCAGACATAGACTGCTTCCAACTACACGGGGGTGTCTATAGGTCATTGCTCCTCGTGCCTCTCTGAGGGGGGCCAGGTTCTGGCTCGTGGTCCCCAGTATGCTAAGAACTCCATCAATTGACTGTTGCCACGGTCTAATATATACACATCAGCCTGGTATAGCCCTGGGAAGCTGGAGAGGATATCCACAGAAAAGGCAGTACAGTATTTGATATGCAGTGTGGAAAATATATGGAACTAAATCCTGGCTTAACATATTAATATACAGTATAATCAATTTTAACACGAGTATAAACAGGTTAACAATTGTAATAAAAGTGAGTTACCAATATAATTTGTTAATTAACACATTAATCAAATTGTAGTACTGTACATGTATAGTATTAAAAAAAAATTGCCATGGAATACATTCACACATTCTCCTTACAATACAGTACCTTAAAATGTATACTTACCAAGAGGTAATTGTTTCTCATTCAGACCCTACCATGAGGAATGGTGCTGAAAAACTGACATCTTCTCAACACTGTCCACGCACCACCGCCCGCACACTCAGATAAATAAGGCATACTACACACATGTTGAAGTGTAACGATGGGAGGCTGGGAATGATCACTACAGGAAAAGCTCTTCATTAGCCTGGTTGACAATGATATGACAAATAATAAGCCTATACCAGTGCTACAGAGCTAACTACTTACAAAAAAGGCCATGAATGTATCCACTGTAACTGTCATTATCACTGCCACGGCTGTATTGTCACAATAAGGTCACACCTGCAGTGGGAAAGCATTGTACATGATTTCAGAATGTGTAAAAATATTTAAAGCTACCGTGGTCTACATACAGAAATAAAGAATGTATTTTTTCATGATATTAACAAGAGTGCTTCCTCTATATGAATGAAATGATAAGCTAGTGTCCATTCAATCATAGCACTAATTTCTCAAATACATTGGATGATTTTCTATTACATACTTGGAGTGACTACAGAGCATAAGCAGTAGATTTCATAAATTCTTGTCTGTTTTAGACATTCACTAGTACAACAGAAGACGCTTACTGCTTAATCTCGCTTTCAATATCAGATTTCGTAGTGTTCTATTATGCTGTCTATTATGCACACATTTAACTGCTTCTGCACATCAGCAAGGAAATTAACTCACTTCTAAATAACTTTCCCAAACAGATGTACCATTTCTGTTGCTAAAGGATATCTAATGTCTGCTGTTTTCCCTTACATTGTTTCATCTGAGGAAAACTTACTAGTTTCAACTAATCCTATGCGACATTGTTATTCATAGACTAACCTTGAATGTTTCTTTCACTAAATAGTATAATTTCTAAGAGTTCAGCTTCACCAGAACTCTTTTTGACTGGTTTATTTCTCTCTCACTGATCTGGAACTGCATCTAATAATGCAAACATCAGCAAAATGCCTATGTATTCTGTACAAATGACGGATCACCAAAGCAGCTGACAAAGTGTCTTGTACAAAAAGTACAAAAGGGAAATCCAACTGTAAGTTGAGCTAAGAAAGAAACAATGTCGCAGAATAAATTCCAAGGGATCATGCACCACCCTGGCTCCAGTCAGTCTGCGTACATTTTCTGGTTGAAATTTTGGTGCATGAGGGGTAGGAGTATCAGGAAAGATACCAGTTTCATAGTACTCCTGAAGGATTACTTCCTTCTCCTCATATCTGGTATACAGCCATGTTTTTAATGCTTCTTCTTCTCTAGGAATCTGTAAGTAAAAATAAACACAGCTTTTACATACATACATACATACATACATACATACATACATACACATACATACACATACATACATACTGTATATATCAAGGGGTACCGCCTCTCATGCAACTGTAGGGACTCATAGCCTTGAAGAAGGTAACACAGAGTATAGGCCACATGTATAGGCATTGAAACAAGCAACTAGATGAAACATCAAAAACATAAAAGCTATGAAGACTTAACATACTCTTTTTTTTTATATTTAAGCTAACAATTTAAATTTTAGTTTTCAAACATTTTATTTATTGTGTAAAGCAACCTCCAAAGGTAAAGAATTGAGCCACTTCAAGAACATAAAGGATCTTGACGTGATCCTTCAAGATCCTTTGTTTCATCAAGTGTTTCATTCTCAGAAACACTTGCTTTCTTGTTTCTTGCTTATCACATTCCTAAAATTTCAAGAATTCACGAGACATTAGAAAATTATTAGCTTTCAACAGCAGAAAAATAGACAAATATAGACAGACAGGCTATTAAAAAATGGATCGTAGTAAAACTAGTTTTTTTCAGTACCTCCTCAATGTTAAACCTGCGGTAGTGGAATATGGTGTCACAGCTAGGTCTCCAGCCACCAAATATAGTCTGCAGGTCGAGTGGGCGACCACCTGGGTATGCTACTGTCACATCAAGTAGGTATTTGATACGATCAGTACCGTCTGAAATGTGAAGCAAGGGAACAAATTGCGTCATAGTTAGTATCTGAGAACTTGGTGAGTGCAGGATCTCAAGCTACACTTGCTAGGTATATATCATTAATGCAGTTAGCTACCCTATGTAATTCATATATATTTAAGACAAATACTCTGTATATGCATTTGAGACATCCTATTCAGCACTTAAAAATAAATAGAATCTTTAATCATAACTGATTCAAATAAGTGTCTTCCATAAACACACACATTTGTGCATGGTTTACAAATGCATGTCTCTGAGAAGTGTGTTATTTTAAGCCATTTGTATTTTAATCTGGAAATTGTGCAACCAAATTTAACAAGCTTAGTCCATACCATATATACAACTCCAGTGTTGCAACCATGTTATAGCAACAAGACGTGACACATGGCTTGTGCTACCCGTCCTTACCGTCACAACTGTCTGCTGCAGCATTGTCCATGATGACTTTCAATGCACCGACTCTGGGCAGGGCAACATTTTCCAACAGTGGAAGGTTGTTTTTCAAGGCGTACCTCTGACTCCCAGGTTTCCGATTCTTAAGGAATCCCCCTTCAGGAAAAAGGACCAGCCACTTGCGCTTGCGAGGGATGTAGAATTTATGGAGATGATGGCCAAGTTTAAGTAGTGACGCATCTCTGTGGTCTTTTCCCTAACAGAAAATAAATGAAATTACAGTTACATGGACAGAACATTAAGCGAAGGTGTGTCAATGTGGAGAAAAACAAGGATGAACTGGATATATTAGTGCAAAGATGCTAAAATATACGGAATGATGATCTTGGAGTCTGGCACAAATTCTGTCTGAATCACCTTGTCAAGAAATTGGAAGCAATAAAAGTACTGCTATCATCATTTTCATATACTGTATATAATAAAGAAAAGCCTTATATGCATCACTCAAATAGAGCCTTCACTATTAACCCCTGCACTGCTCACCCATTTTCGGCAAAAATGTCTTGGTGCAATTCTCAAGGATATATTTTTGTTATTTTTATAATTGTTTTGGTAAAGTTAATGTCAAAATGTTTCCAAAGTCAACTATTTCCATTTCAAAACACAAAGAGTAATGAAAACATTCAAAAATATTAAAATATAGCCTAATATAAAAAACAAAAAGCACAAATCTCAGAGCGCCTAAAGGCGCTTTGCGCAGTGCAGTGGTTAAACTCATATCATTAACTTTAAATAACTTTTCTTTAAAATCTATATCTACTTACACCATGAATGAAGAAATCCCCGTGGGCCCAGGAAACAACCCCAAAATTAGTTAATTTGAAAACGTGGTCCATAATCCACATTATATTACTGGACAATCCTGGCCGGGAATTGAAGGCAGCCATTATTAGTGGCACGTCAGATGTGGATTGATGATTGAATAGCACCAGTGTCCGCTGTTCAATCAGATCCCAAACCTAGAAAAGGTTACAGATTATTATCTTTGTTATTATTTTTACAGTATTATTATTATTATTATGAGGCTGGGTGTAAGTGGTTTGTACAGAGAGAATGAATGCACAATACAGTATTTGGTTGTACAGTAACAACACACTGTAACTACACTTAGGTAATTACACTTAGTCTGCATGAATGGACAAGTTAAAAGTTAAGTTAAAAGCTCTGTACCTCAGGGTACAGTCCTTGCACCACTGCTTTTCCTTATTCTCATATCAGATATAGACAAAAATACAAGTCACAGCTTCGTATTATACTTTGCAGATGACACAAGAATCAGCATGAAAATGATCTCTGCTGAAGACATTGAAAAACTACAAGTAGATATTAATCAAGTTTTTGACTGGGCAGAAGAAAATAACATGATGTTTAACAGTGATAAAATCCAGGTACTCAGGTACGGTAAAAATGAAGATCTTAAACATAATACAGGGAATAAAACACAATCAGATTTGTCCATAGTTGGAAAGCAGTATGTAAGGAATTTGGGAATATTGATGTCTGATGACCTAACATTTAGGGAGCATAACCAAGCAAATATTGCATCTGCCAGAAAAATGATAGGATGTATTATGAGATCTTTCAAATCTAGGGATTCCATCACAATTGTTGTACTATTCAAATCACTTGTGCTGTCCTGTCTTTAACTACTGCTCAGTACTCACTTTCCCCTTCAGTGCAGGAGAGATTGCTGAAATATAGGGAGTTCAGAGAACATATATGGCATACACAGATGCGATAAAGCACCTAAATTATTGGGATCGTCTCAAAGATCTCTAAATGTACTCGCTAGAAAAGAGACGAGAGAGATATCAAATAATATACACACAGAAAATAACAACTTACTGGAGTGAACGAAATGGAAGAAAATACAGAAAAGAACCAGTGAAGATCAAGGCTGATATAAACACAATTGGAGAACACTGTATAAACATCAGAGGACCACAGTTTTTCAAGATCCTCACAGCAATTACATATAAGAAATATTGTCAGAACAATCGTGGTCATCATCAAAAGAAAACTAGATAGTTTCCTTCAAGAAGTGCCGGATCAACCGGGGCTGTGGTGGATATGTGGGCCTGAGAGCCGCTCCAAGCAACAGCCTGGTGGACCAAGCTCTCACAAGTCAAGCCTGGCCTTGGGCCGGGCTTGGGGAGTAGTAGAACTCCCAGAACCCCATCAAGCAAGTATCAAGCAGGTTAAGTAATACTTCTTTTTAATATTGGATTTATAACTGTCTTTCACTATATTATTCACTAATGTTTCTTTGGGTGCATGTCAACCCAACCCATATACATACAGTACAGTGTGACCTCGATTATCTAGACCAATTGGAATCTTTGAATATCCAGATAACTCGGCCTTTTTTTATTTTGTTATTTACTTGTGTGTTGTGCCAAAAATACCTGTACAGTATTGGTATTTTAATTAGAAAGCTCCAGTGTCACTGTAGGAAGGGAAGGGAATTATCAGGAGAATGCACCAAACCATTACAACTCTATAACACTGGGAAGGGGTCAGGATAAAGATTTGGGATGGGACGGGGAAAAGGAATGGTCACTGTAGTAAACTAATAAAATTATTGTTATCTGGTATACATATGTATACCTCACTGCCAAATCATACAAATATCACAGATTATGTTGATTAACCCACATTAGCTAGAGACATTAGCTACAGTTAATGCAAGTGAAAACCCGATACTATATTTCTAAGTCAGGACACTCTGGTAACCCAAAATGGGGATCATTAAAATTATGCAGACGAGGAGTCATAATAACGTGGCTGAAATATGTTGACCAAACCACACACTAGAAAGTGAAGAGACAACGACGTTTCGGTCCGTCCTGGACCTGGACCAATATGTCACATCACGGACATATTAAATTTATTATCTGCCAAAATATTATTACTGCAGGCTGTAATATTATTATTACAGGCTATATTATTATTATTACAGGCTATAATAATATTATTACAAGCTGTAATACTATTATTACAAGCTATAATATTATTATTCCAGACTATAATATTATTAGAGACTGGATATGAGGTTTAAGTTATTGTAAAGAGAAAATAAACACACTGCCCAAATACTTACATCATCTCCAAGTTCAACAACATTGTATCCCGCGCTATAGGACCAGAGAGCCACCATGGAGAGCAACCATCGGAACAAGGCACCTTCCAAGAGCCAGTACGTAGAGGGGGTAAACCATTTGAGAGGCTGAAAAACGAGCAGCCAACAGAAGTAGACTGGGATACAGTAGAGGTTGTTTAATGTCCACACTACGAACCGCACTGCTGCCCGCAGTCCTTTATAGAATCTGCAAATTAATAGGAATTTTTAATGAAAACTGAGCATTGGATTCTATATCAATCTGCTATTCAACCAGGGCTTTAACTATTTTATGTTACTGTTAGTAACTATGGACTTGAGAATAAAATAAAAGCAAATATATATAATTATAATTAATAATTCATTGAGTCAGGGGACAGGAAGCCAGAGTGTATTTATACACGGTTTGGCTTTTATTGAGGTCCCAAGGCCGAATTACTGACCCCACCCAAGTTGCAACCCCACAACAGGCTGACTGACTCCTAAGTACCTACTCACTGCTAGGTGAAGAGAGGTATTAGGTGAAAGGAAATGTGCCCAACCATTTTTGTCCCACCGGGGTCCGAACCCAGAATTCTCGTTTATGTGTCAAGAACGAACCCAACTATACTACCCGGACCCTTCAATATACTGAGGTCTTCTGTTACCAATATTCAAGGTCTGTTTAAATTCACGGACATACTACATTAAAGCTTCATAGAATACATTTGTTGTATTTCACAAATGTGTTTAAAACTTTCTCATGTATATCCCTAGAGACATTTAACAGTACAGTAATGGTGAATGATGACTACTCTCCTCTTTATATCAAGTTCACTATATGCCTGCACAATCACTTTTCCCCATGCTCACTATATACCTGAACAATCACTATACACCATGTTCACTATATCCCTACACAATCACTTTACATCAAATAATATACACCTGGAAGATACTGGAGGGCCAAGTACCAAATCTACACAGTAAAATAACAACGCACTGGAGTGAACGATATGGAAGAAAATGCAGAATAGAACCAGTGAAGAGCAGGGGTGCCATAGGCACAATCAGAGAACACTGTATAAACATCAGAGGTCCACGGTTGTTCAACACCCAGCGAGCATAAGAAATATTGCCGGAACAACCGTGGACATCTTCAAGAGGAAACTAGATTTATTCCTCCAAGGAGTGCCAGACCAACCGGGCTGTGGTGGGTATGTGGGCCTGCGGGCCGCTCCAAGCAACAGCCTAGTGGACCAAACTCTCACAAGTCAAGCCTGGCCTTGGGCCGGGCTTGGGGAGTAGAAGAACTCCCAGAACCCCATCAACCAGCTATCAACCAGGTAACATCATGTTCCCTATATTTATACACAATCAGTTTATACCATGTACAATGTTTCTACACAATTACTTAACACCTTGTTCACAGTACTATTTCTACACACTCATCATATTCACAGTACTATTTCTACACACTCATCATGTTCACAGTACTATTTCTACACACTCATCATATTCATAGTACTATTTTTATACTCACTTTACACCATGTTCATAGTATTATTTCTACACACTATTAATTATATTAATTATAATAGTAAAAACAAAATATAAAATAAATAACATGAAACAAACTAGTAATGTTGAAACCAAACTGAGGTACAGAAAATAACAGGAGCTTGAATAATATGCAAGAAAAGCAAATATTAATATGTCAACAGGAGTACTGTACTGTGCTTGAATGTTAAAAGTGAGCTGACCCGAGATCTCAAGAACGCTTTGTTCTCTCTCTCTCAAGAACAAGTCTTTGGAGAGAAGATGGAGAAATCATAACAATATTGTCTTGAATTTAAGATAAGGAAATTATATCAGGAGGAAGTCCTAAGCAAGTGTGACTCTATATAGCTCTCTATATAGGGATACAAAGACAGGATTGGAACTGGGATTAGAGGATGAAGGGAAGGAGCAGTGCCCAAACCAATGTAAGTGCATAGGCAATGCACTACTCACTCTTTAAGAAGTCAAAGCAGCACCCAATAAACAAAATAATCCTACTCATTTTACAGTAAAAATCATTAGAATTTTGAATCAACATCTTAGTTATGCAATTTAACTATATTTGTACATTATTCCTATACTGTACTGTACATACAGCTCCAAAAATAGAAGGATTGGGAGTTGAACACACTAACAAAGGAAATGGTGGCGGCAAACTACATACACAGCTTCAAATGTGTGTATATCACGAAAATAAACACATGATTAAAAATGTGACAGTGTCAGACCACAGAGGAAAATTGAAACAAGAATTTCCTTAAGTACTAGTACTTTCGTATATTAATACATCTTCAGAAGGAGTACTTTCGTATATTAATATACGAAAGTACTCCTTCTGAAGATGTATTAATATACGAAAGTACTTAAGAAAATTCTTGTTTCAATTTTCCTCCGTGGTCTGACACTGTCACAGCTTCAAATGTAAATACTGTGATAAAACCTGTGAGGACAAGGGATAGGACTCAGGAGGTGTAGTTAGTTCCCCCATAAACACATCTAGGCGAGAACACACAATAAATCCTAACCCTATCATTTAATGATTGCTATTTCTTAATGCTTTCCCTTATATTCCACATGCATTTCTAAATAAGTAATGGTGGTAAATGATTCACATTTTAAACTGTAAAGGTTAAAGAATATTGATAATATTTTTTGAATGCAGAAAAAAAGGATTGCAATATGTATAATTAAAAGGGTAAGCAATGAAGTACTAAAAATTATACAGTATATAGAATTACTGTACGTAATAAGTTAATAAATTCTCCATTGCAATCAATTTAACAGGAACAAGCTTACTGCCGAGTCCGGTTGAGACATGCGGTGCTTACCTCTCTGGATCATGCGAGCGGCGAGCTGCATTGTTATCCATGGTGGGGTCAGGAGGGTAGTGGGAAACATGCAGCACAGAGCACCACCGCTCACCAGTTAAGGTTCACCGGTCAGTGGTCTCGGGTGATCTCAATGTTCCTTTAAGGTCTCCATTATCTGAGAGAGATAATACCAAAGATAAGCATTACAGTCATTGGGTGATTAAACCAGACCTATTAAAGATTACAAGTAGACATTAATCTGATTAAATATGATTAAATATGATTAAATATGATTAAATAGGATTAAATAGCAGTAAGCATAGGATTAAATCTTGTATAAATCTGAACTATATATTCTTGTATAAATCTGTTTCAGTCGCCTGAAACCAAACAAGTTACATTACAATATATATACAGTAATCACATAACCTACTGATAACATCCTGAAATAAACATTCCACAGAAGAATTACTGAACTCCCTGCAAATAAGAGCTAACTCAGTTTCACTGAGAGTTAACTCAGTTTCACTGAGAGTTAACTCAGTTTCACTGAAAGTTAACTCAGTTTCACTGAGAGTTAACTCAGTTTCACGGAGTTAACTCAGTGAAATATTAATAATAAATTTTTATTCAGGTAAAAGTACATACATATTGAGTTACAAGCAGAATGGTGGATTTTTCAGATAGAGCTAGTATATACTATGCCTAAAGCCACTAATATGCCTATGTTGCCTGAAATGCTGTAGGTATAAGTGGCTTTAGGCATAGTATATACTAGCTCTGTCTAGTAATCCAACATTCTGCTTGTAACTCAATATGTATGTACTGAATGTACTTTTACCTAAATATAAATTTATTTATTATTATTATTATTATTATTATTATTATTATTATTATTATTATTATATCACAACATACAGAGGCCAACAATAAAACAATATGGTAACATATACAGCTAAGTCACTAATTCACTCTTTCATGCATGTGCTTCAATGATGACACATCCCCTCATACCCACCCTCTCCAAATCGCCCCCTTCATCCTTCCTCTTTCCATCTCTTCCCCCTCTCTTGCCCTTTCTTCCAATGTCTCCCCACTACCCCCTCTCCCTCCCTCCCTCTCTCTCCCTCCCTCCCTCCCTCTCTCTCTCTCTCTCTCTCCCTCCCTCCCTCCCTCTCTTTCCCTCCCTCCCTCTCCCCCTCTTTCCCTCCCTCCCTCCCTCCCTCCCTCCCTCCCTCCCTCCCTCCCTCTCTCCTCCCTCCCTCCCTCCCCCTCCCCCTCCCCCTCCCTCTCTCTCTCTCTCTCTCTCTCTCTCTCTCTCTCTCTCTCTCTCTCTCTCTCTCTCAGAAAATGTAATATTACAAAGTACTGAAACTGTTAAATAATTATAGAAAACACAACCTCGATGTCAGACTATTTCCAAGGGTTCCGTATAAATGCTCGTATTTCTTAAAATGTGGCACAGGGGATGATCTTGAATGGTCTGTGACATTTCCATAGCCCCATGTGTCATTTTAGAAAGCTGGGTTAAGCTTGGTTTGGATAGGATAAGTTAGGTTAGGATAGGATAGGTTAGGTTAGGATAGGTTAGCCCCAAGTGTCTGGCCTCCAGCCTTAGACAGGCATCTTTTTTTATAGATCTAAATAATAAGCTCTAAGTTTAATAGACCATGTAGCATTATCTTTTGTGATAAGATCAAATTGGCAATGTATATACAGTACTGTACAGCAGACTATCGTAACAAGGTCAAAGTCTAACAGATAATATATATCTATTGTAACATGATCAAAGTATTATACAATAGATAATGTATATCTATTACAATTAAGCCCAGGTCTAACAAACCATGTAGTATTATCTATTGTATCAAGATCTCGATCAAGCACACAATTTTAATACAACAGACTATGCTGTAACAGGGTCTAATAGAGAAACATATACTGTATACCTAAATCTAGGTCCAATAGACAATGTTTATCTATCCTAATAAGGTTAAAACATTACATTAACATGTTATAAACAAACTGCAAATCAGTAAATCTTTGTGCCTTAACCTGTATAAAACCTAAGTTGTCATTTGAAATGCTTCATTTTAGCAAAAATTAAGTAGGAGGTTGAAAACTCTCATCCCTTGGGATGATGAAACCTGAATAACACTGATGCACACATGACAAAATATTTATACGTCCTTGAAAGATAAAAGAAGGGTAATAGTACACTCTGTGACCTGTTTGCTATCATTAGATTAACAAATTAAAAACGGAGCTCATTATCTGGAAAGTTGATTAGACGTACACGCAAGGAGCAAAGAGCACAATTATATCTTGATAACAAATTTTAATCAGTAATATATCAAGCCCCTATGTCGTCTCATCATAAGATTCAGATGGTAACTAACCTTCCCCACAAAGAATTAGGGAAGGCAAATCTTACGCTCTCTTGATTATTATAAATGTTATGATGCCCACCTAATTCTTTCTAGCTCAAGCTCAAACATGTACTGTATATGTGCTCCAGTTATGCCTAATAATTTATATTTTAACTCTTGTATTCACTTTGCTGAATGTCTGAACCTATAAAATTTCAATGATGTCCTTCATAATACAAGGGCATCATGCCACTTCTGAGCACTCAAAGTTTAGATATTTCTCCATTCATAAACATTATGTCTCCGAGCAAACAACGAGCAGGATTTCCTTGAAGGTCATTGTTCAATTCCTGATGATCCTAGTGACACCATTCCTTCATTCTATCCAGGGACCAGCGCCAGAACCTGGCCCACTCAGAGGAGCAAGGAGTGGTGACGTTTATTTACACCACCATTGGGGAAGGCAAAGAGACAGTCAGTGAATAAAAACACTGCTGGCTTCAAAAAAAAAAAAAAAGACCAAAGCCTCACAACCTGCCTAATTTGTATAAAAGGGGGTCCCTTTTGTAAGGCATATGTGAAATACTGTTGGTAACGAGCAATGAACAGTTTATACTGTTTTGGTTTGAAAGGAAAAACATTTGAAACTCCTGCCAGTGCAGTGGCAAGTTCTGCACAATCGCAGTGCATAGTCACAGTGTGAAAACGTTCCCCTCCAAAAAAATATACAGGTAAATAAAAAATTAGCAATCCCCGTGGCACAGTGGTAAAACACTCACCCGGCGCTTTGCGAGCGTTTTGGCCTGGGTTTGTAGCTTGGCCAGGGAGGATTGACTGGGCACTAATCCTTAACTGTAGCCTCTGTTCACCCAGCAGTGAATGGGTACCTGGTTGTTAAACGATTTGGCAGTCATATTCCGGGGAAAATTAGGATTAAGGACCTGCCCGAAATGCTATGCATGCTAGTGGATTTACAAGAATGTAAGAACTCTTGTTCTTACAAATAAAATAAATACAAATAATAAAAAAAAACATTTGTAGGCAAATCAATACAGTACATTGAAGTATATTCTGTTACTGGAAAATATGTTGTATAATCAGTGTTAAATGTAGAAAACCAATTCGGAACTCAATAAGACTAAATAAGGAATAAGATGGGGAATACGATTTGAAAAGATAATGATATTGGAACATTGGTGGTTGAGGAAAATGTGGGCCAGCGGCACATTCACTCGTTAGCGGATGTGTTCAGAGGAGGATCTCCAATCTCAGACAAGTGCTCAGTGATTCACTCTTCACATTAGATAAGTGCAGCAACATTTATATGGTGGTGCTTCCTTAGTTGTTAGTTGTAGGGATTGACGGTGGCAATTTTGCATGTTTTCCGTCCCTGCAGCTCTGTAAGTGGGCCAGGTTCTGGCACTGGTTTCCTGTAGGCCTATAGAACTCTAGGGCTGATAAGAGTTAGTGGAGGGTACCATCTTAGCATATAGTAGCTTCATAGAGCCACAAGAGGCTTCTCCCAGGACAAAAGGGTATATTGTAAATGGTATCTTCTTTAATTTTGCTCATAATGAGTTTTGGGGGGGACACTTATTAAGTACAAGATGCCAAGTTTTAGCAAGCTACAGTGGCCAGTGGCAGTGAAGATGACCCACCAATCTCTTACCACCCATGCATCGTCGCCTACTACATCTTTCTTTACCAAATAGACCTATTCAGTCTTCATAAAGCATACTCAGACAAGCAGGGGCTACTCCATCACATGGTAAATAAAAATTATATTATTTCCCTGATACAAATATTTTGTTTTGTTTAGGACATGTTATTTTTTGTGTATTCTCTAGGAATGCATCCTCCATTTATAGCATTGCACATATGTAAAATATAGTACATTATACCAGTAGTTCCAATAGTTATAATGGGCAACTTATAAAGCTTGGCAACCCAAGCTTTGACTTGGGTTCGTATCCTGACCGAGGAGGATTTACTGGGGGGGGGGGGGGCCAATCCTTAACTGTAGCCTCTGTTTACCCACCAGTAAAATGGATTTGCTCAAAATGCTAAACGTGCTAGTGGCTGTACAAGAATGTAAGAACTCTTTTTATTTATGTTTATATATGTATATATATATTATATATATATATATATATATATATATATATATATATATATATATATATATATATATATATATATATATATATATATATATATATATATATATATATATATATATATATGCATAATATATATATATATATATATATATATATATATATATATATATATATATATATATATATATATATATATATATATATATATATATATATATATATATATATATATATATATATATATATATATATATATATATATATATATATATATATATATATATATATATATATATATATATATATATATATATATATATATATATATATATATATATATATATATATATATATATATATATATATATATATATATATATATATATATATATATATATATATATATATATATATATATATATATATATATATATATATATATATATATATATATATATATATATATATATATATATATATATATATATATATATATATATATAAACACCTTACTGGTAGAATCCACTCAATAAAACATCTAAATTATTGGGACCACCTAAAAATTTTAAATCTGTATTTCCTAGAGTGCCGGCGAGAGTAATAATAATTTACACTCAGAAAATATTAGGACTGGTTCCATATCTGCACACAGAAATAACACCACATGAGACCAAACGGCATGGCAG